GGTGGTTTTTAGTCAGTAAGAGTCTGACACTACTTCCCGCCTCACCAAGGCGGGAGCAGTGATTAGATGATTTTCACCCCTTAAAAGAAAAAACACCTGGCTGCAAGAATCGCTGGCCCATCTGAAAGGCATTTGTTTAGTAGTGAATGTCATAACATGATGATGAATCTTTTGAAACAAAACAGAGCTATATTAAATCTAGTCACATTGAATTGCGCACATTGGCTCTCCATTTTGTAATACTCCATATCAACCCTAACTTACCATGCACGCCATGGTAACAATAACAAAATGTACCTAAGTAGTTGAACGTCTACAAATTCTGTAATTTATTATTCATAAAAGTGTATTGATTTATCATACATACACATATGTACATAAAGTAGAAACCTTTCACTATTTGGGAAATATTGATTCACGAAGGACCAATTCATTTAATTTGATTTCTATGTCGCTTTTATACTTCGGTTGTTGTATGAGTTATGACGTAATAGCGGTGTATTTTTAGATTATAGTCTTTGAAGGGTTAAGTAAGTACAATATGTAGATGGGCTTTGTAGGTAGTTTTCTTTTCGTTTTTTTAAGGGCGGCAAATTATCGAATGACTGCTCCCGCCTCACCCAGGCGGGAGCAGTCATTGGATGATTTTCCCCCTTATGAAAAAAAATACCATAAGAAAAAAAACTCAGAAAATGTAAAACAATTCAGCTGAAAAAGTATGGTAAACAATTAGATTCGAGTTAAGCCACTTTTCCTCGAAACGTTTGTTCAAGGAGGATTTAATTCTATTCCGAAGTAATTTATGAAGACCGCTTACTGGTTTAATTACAGTCCCCTACACTTCCAATAAAGGAAATTATCTGAACAAAAAACAATTTTTCTCTCTTTAATTGTAGATATTTTTTGTCTACGTAGGTGTTTTCTTATGTAGAGGTAAACAGATTTTTGTATTTCGCAAATTCGAGGAATTATGTTTTCTGTTTAATTTTTTATTCTCTGTTGTTTAAATACTCTTGGCGCGTTGTTGTAATTAAAAATATCGAGGGATTATGAACGAGATTTTCTATTTTTGTGTTTCTTGTGAAAGTTAAATTAAGTCTAGTATAATTAATTGAACAGAACATTATTTTTGGGACAAGCCCGCTATAACTTCTCAAAACTGCTGCAACTCCTGTAAGCCATGATCGACACTGGACAGGATATGACATGTGATTATTCTAATTATTGCTCAACAAAGTACCATGGATTATGATTATTGTGTCATAAAATTTTTGGCAATTATTATACTAGAACCCCTCGTACAATTCTGAACTACATATATCATTAAGACTGAAAATCCAATACCTACTTACCTATCAACAATCTACACAAAACAATACAAATCCAACAATTGAATTTATAAAAACAAAAAGTATAAAGACTCCAATAATAAACTGGGTTCAAACAAAAGAGGTCTTTATACGCATTTAATCACAGGTCCCATCAGCCGTGGAACAAATGAGATTAGTTCATTCAAACGACATTAATTCCAATTTCAAATGCGTTTCACTGAATGTGATTCAAACGCTGAGGTCTGAATAGATTCGTAATCAAGTTTGGTTCGCGCTTCTTTTGAATTTAAGATACGCAATGCTTGCTTGGTAGTAAAGACTTGGTTTATTCATCAAGTTATTGGACAATATTTTGTAATCTATTTTATGTAACGTTAGTGAGTCCAAATGAGATTTTGAATTTTTATCTTGAGAATTATCATTTAGGTCATAATTCGTATGTTTTTAAATTCGTAATTTTATATGGAAGAATTGGCAAAAATATCAAAATTATTCCTTCGACAAAGTTATCTGGAGTTGGAAAATCGACCGTTTTTTATGACATAAGCCGGTCAACGAGCAGATGGTAAGCAATCGGCGTCGCCCATGGACACCTGCAGCACCAGAGGCGTTACAAGTGCATTACCGGCCTTTTGGGGATTAGGAGTTTGATGATCGTTGTGGATTCAGGGATTGGGGAGAGGAGGGTAATTGGGCCTCAGTCACAAGACGAAACACAACGCAAGCGTTGCTTCACGTCGGTTTTCTGTGAGGCCGTGGTGTCACTCCGGTCGAGCCGGCCCATTCGTGCCGAAGCATGGCTCTCCCACACTTTAAAATTAAACAACGGCAGCAACACCCATTATTTTTCGCCTTAGCCCGAAATAGTTCATGAAAGCCTCAATTTGACATGCCCCACAGCAACACGTTTACCATAGTAACAAGCCTATCAGTCAAAACGTAATGCAGGTATTTAGGGTAAATATATAAATAGATACATTCAAACAGCTTTCAACATAAACTTGGAGATTCTCGGAGTTGTCTTACGATTATGATCTTTGAAAGTAAATGTTCCTTAACATTCAGACGCCATGTTCCGCCGCGGGCGAGAGGAAGGTTATAATAAAAGTATTCACTAACATTTCTTGTAACAAAAGGAATATGTAGGGTTGGGACTAATTAAAAAAAGTGGGCTCCGTTGTTCCGACTGTCTTTTGTCTTTGCGTTCAAACTTGAAAATGGAATAGAGAAATTGGGACGCTTATTTCTTTTTTTTTAATAAGGTTTTAAGTTAAAAGGTTTGTGTTCAAGTAGGTATTTGTATATAAAATACTTACTAAGTTAGTAAATTATTTATTTAAGGAAATGCTTTTAACTACTATGTAATGAACCGCTGAGTAGTAATATGACGAAACATTATTTAAACCAATTTGTGAGGAGTTTTCTTTATACTAAAGATACTAAAGGATTTATGGAAGAGGACTGTACTTAGATAATAAAAAAAAATCTTATTCGTCAAAAGTTTGAATATTTTGACCAAAGACATTAATTCTTCATAGCTCCTAATAATAACACAACGAAAATCATGTTAAAATGGAAAACATATTCAGTCAAAATAGTTCTCTTAGCAACGATAATTATCTTTTTATTCTGTAAGAAAAGATGGCGTCCATTCACGTTTAGTGGCAATGCAGTACAAACATAGCTAGGAAACAGGTGATCCGCTCCAAATTGCTAAGACGTTGAAAGAGTCACGTGTGAAAGGGATCTTTCTTTCACTCGCTCTTTCACACACACGCACACATAGCCATCCCACGTAAATGGCATGGAGTTTAAAGAAATGGAGTGATCTCTGTGTAGGAAATTGTCATAGAAATGTTGCGATAGAAAAAGAGTAAGAATAATAATGGTCGTATTTTTTCACTTACCCCTTTTTGAATAATTTTTCTCCCTTAATAATTTGTAAATATACATGATTTACCAATAGTATGTAGCAGTTTCTTGAGGTCGTTAATGTGGGTTGAATTATTAATTTTGAATCCGTCTGATTTAGTAAAACTTTAGGTACACCTAAAGTTTAGCACCATAGTCATCTTACTACCATAGTCTCTACTGAATGTACTTTAAAAAGTACTCCATGTCTTTATACTCCATGCTCTGCAGTAAGAAAAACCCGGGAAAAGCGTCTCAGGGGAAATTTTATTTCGTTTAAACGCCAGCGGTGGCACTGACATTCATATATTGTGCCTTTGTTGGCTTGCCTACAGGAATTCTCCGAGAAGGGTAAATATTTGAATTTCGAATTATAATAAGTTAGTTTTATGCTCTGTTCGGTACCGAGTTGATTTTGGCAAACAATTTGTGCTTGAATAGTAAATGTTTCTTGAAATAGCTGTGTGACTGTGAGTTTGATTTTGTGTTTCGCCATTCGAATGGTTATGAGTTGCCATTGCCGATTATGACATTTTTGATTTGATCTTTGCAATAATTTTCTTTTATTTGACTAACTCATTGGCGGAGTGTTTCCAAGTGCGACTACTCATAACGGAGTTTTAAATATAATTCCTGCACTAAAGGGCATGGAGTTTTTTTTCAGGGAGGAAACCATTCAATGCCTTTTCCCAGTTTAGGTGAGGCGAGAGGGAGTGTCAGACTCTTAGTAATTAAAAACCACCCCGTTCCTACTCCTGCTTCTGGTCAGAATCCCGGTGACCCGTAACTGGGATATATGGCAATGGGTTAACACCTCTTATTCCATGAGACCAAGAAATGATGAAAGGTTTGAATTGCACATAATAATATGTGCAATTCTACTTATTTCTTCGAGGATTAAAAGGCTCGGCATAATATCTGACACTAGTAGAACACATTGAGGTGTTCTCAACTACATATAATTTATTTTTAATTTACAGATATGCTGGGTAATTCAATACTGGGATCTCTTTATACCAAAGAAAACTTAGAAAAGTAGATCGGATGCAATCGCTATAGCTTACAGTGAGATGCGACTGCAGTGTTGAGACTTGAGAGTACCTAATCTAACTTCGAACTGAGAATTCAATTTATATTTTCTCGTTTGTTGGTTGGTACCAATTTATTTTAATCCCAAAGAAACTTAGAGATAGAGTTTGTTTCGCTTTCACATGTATTTTTGTGCATAAGAGAAATGTAATTTTATTTTAGGATAGGTGCACGGTCCTCCTGTTATGAATAAAATCATTCAACATCAAATTAAACTGTCAAACACCGCGAGGACACCGATGTCCGCACTCCTATTGTTCTTTAATTGTGCCTATAATGACGGTACTCAAAGGTCTAAGTGTGGAAGGTTTGAAGCGAATTTATGCGCATTTCATCAATATATTGTTTATTTTTGTATAAACAATTGAATTTTTTTTCGGGGATAATAAGGCGGTAAACGAGCAATCGGATCATCTGATGGTAAGCAATGGGCGCCGTCCATGGACAACCGGAAGCGTGACAAGGGTATTACCGGTCTTTTGGGGATAGGAAACGGACAGGAGTAGCTGGGCCACCGGTAACCACACTCACACGACGAAACACAACGTAAGCGTTATTTCACGTCGGTTTTAAGGCCGTGGTATCACTCCGGTCAAGCCGGCCCATTCGTGCCGAAGCATGGCTCTCCCACAATTAAATTCTTAATTAAACCTATAAAAAATTATCAAATGTACCAATTTTGTCTTGTTACCATTTTATAAGTATTTATTTAGTTGCGCCCATGATTGTAAAACATTATTTTTTGAAGTTTATGTCTTGGTCTCTTACTTGCTTCATCCACATTAGCTATGCATTCTGCTATCTGGTTTCGTCGTGCTACTCGATCTACATTTTTAGATACTTGTAATGCATTTTTCACGCGTCTTCCTAAACCTATATCGATAAGTGTCAGAATGTAAATAGCTCTTTTTTGTAAACCTGTAGGCACATTGACTAATGATTCAGCCAGATGGTCTGCTATTCTCTGTCTGTGTGCATCAGTATCAACGATTTCATTGTAAAATTCGTTTAGAGGTTGCAAATCAATAGCATTACTATGTAAAACTTTTAACATCTCTGTTGGACGAGCTTCATCCACATAAGGCATTGGTCCATGGAACGAATTCGGGTAATAGTTTGGAGCATATTTCATATTATCTTTTACTGGTGGCACTCCGTCTCTATTGTATGTTTTATCGTATAAAGGAGCATTCACTTGTATATTATGGTGATTACCACCCAGCCTATAATTTTGTGCATCTGGATAGAAAATTCTTCTTGATTTGAAAACTTCATCGTGTGGTCCCAGAATACCAGGTACTAAGTTATCAGGATTAAGCGCAAGTTGTTCAATGTCCTTAAAAGTATTATCAACATTATCATTAAACACAATTCGACCAATCGTCACAGTGCGGTAAGTACCCCTCTTCCACAATCTCGTCAAATCAAAAGGATCATAATCAACCTTCTTTAGGTCTTCTTTTGTTAATATATCCATCTCTAATCTCCAAGAAGGATAATTCTTTTCAGCAATTGCATTATACAAGTCTATGTTGAAATAGTCAGGACTTTCCAGATTTAAGGCAGCTGCCTGTGCATCTGTCAGGTTAGCCAAGCCGATAGTTGTCCGGAAATTGAATTTTACAAAATATCTATCACCATGCTTATTGTATATCTCATAAACATGTAGTGGGAATATGTCCATCTTCCGATATCCAGCAGGCAAACCGAAATCTGACTGAAGCCAAAGGATGGTATGCAAAAATTGCGGTTTAAGGGTGAAGAAGTCCCATCTCTGGGTGGAATCAAAAAGATTAGTACGAGGATTTCTTTTCATGGTATGTAAAAATCTGGTGAAATCTAAGGGTTCATTGTACAAAAATATGGGAAGATGTAAACATAGAAAGTCTAAGTTTCCTTCTTTGGTGTACATTTTAAGAGCAAGAGCCCTTGTTTCCCTGAGTAAGTCACTTCCACCGAGATTTTCTATTGCTGTGGAGAATCTTCCAACGAGCGGAGTTTTCTTTCCAATACCATTAAATACATCAGCTTTAGTGTATTGAGAAACATCGTGTGTTACTTCAAAATATCCAAACGCTCCATAACCTTTAGCATGCACAACCCTCTCTGGTATTCTTTCTCTGACCAGGTGACTGGTTTCCAAAAAAAGATTCTTATTGTCAAATATATTTGTGTTCAGAGTGACTGTGTCTCTTATGTCCAGTGGATCTCCTGTTAACCTGGTGTATACTCCAATTGGTTTCTGAAAATGAGAACAATTTTGTGTCCTTAACGAAGGTCAGCTATCAGTAACAAAAATGAATTCTAAATTTTAGAAAGAACTTCCAATGAAGCACTAAGATTAGGATTGGATCTGGTGCATAGCAATAGTTCATCATCATAACTTGAACTATTAAAAACTTAAGACATTTCTAATTTGCGTGCCTTCATTAGGCTATTTGTCATACTTACAGGATGTTCGTCAAGAAATTCAGATAATTGTCGGTTAACGGGACTTAGTCTCGTCTCATTGTGGTACCGGATAGCTGTTACATACTGCACCACTACACAAACAACCACAGATACAACAAGCTGCTTCATTCTTAGAACCACAGTAATAATACAATCATACGTTTACAACGTTATATACAGTACTAATTCGTGGAAAACGCAACACAAATTATAAAATTATTTACTTAGGTAAATCACTCAGGATACTCATTACTTTTTTGCCATCTCCTGTAAAATATGGAGTATAATAAACATAAAGTTATGAACAATAAGTAATATTTGTACTTACCATGCACTTCTGCTTAGGGCTGTCAGACTAAAAGTCATCGAACACCTAACAAGCACGACTCTGGCGTGACTACAGCACGGCTCCAACCCTGCGATTAACTTTTCATTTAAATGTGAACTTTAAATCGTATGTCGTATGACATATTTCATAATGTTAATATTAAAAACCTTTTTGTATTGTTTACGAAGCAAAAAACGCCGTGCCGGAGCCGTGCTGAAGCCGTTCTTGAGCCGTGCCGGAGCCGTGCTTGTTAAGTATGCAATGATGTTTAAATTCTGTTATTTTGGTAATGTGATTACATTGCCTCTTGATCTCTTTACTGCACTGTAAAATTCGGCGAGGAAGCACTAAATTACACAATTTTATTACAGAAACAACAACAATAAAAACAGTAAAAATATTATCATATTCTGTCCGTTTAGATGTAACAAACTCAAAACTAAAAAAAAAACTTTACTCCAAAATTTTAAGTTGAATTGTTGATCTAAGTAAAAAGTTAAGTTGATAAGTACATTCATGATTTGACACTAATAATTCGATTTAGGTTTATTATGAAACGGAAAGATATGAGAAGTAACTATTTATTTAATTATTTTTAGCCATAGTCGTCCCGCTGCAGGGCAAAGGCCTCCCTACCCTCCAACCACTCGTCTCCTCTTACAGCTTTCTGATAACTAACTGGAACAAAATTATAACCTAAAAAAATTAGCACGCCGGTTGATTTAGTACCTACCCATAAATTTCAATTTCAAATTATTGATTAATTTAAGTATCCTTTATATTGGTAGATGTACCTAAACACACGTAATGTATGATACATTATGTACACAAATTAAACAATAATTATTTTCCACATTGTAAAAGGTATGTCCGTCCGTCTAATTGTAATATTTAATTAGATGTGCATTAAAGTCAATTATTGACAAAAGGAAGATCAATTAATGTGTATCGCCTGTTATCAATATAATCGTTTTCATGCGATTTCTGTGTCTTGTATGCAGACACATAGTTAAACAGTCTTTTGTAGCTGTCAAAATTGTCGGTCGTCTGGTGGTTAGCGATTACCGTAATCTGAGTACACTTGCATCATCAGGATTCTGAAGTATCTTGCGCTCCATGTCAGAAATTGTTAAACCTGATGTTGCTGGTCGCGGTAAAATTGCGAAGTCAATTTTGTAATGCTATTCGCTTGAGTTCGGAGTGCCGTCGAGAGCAATATTGGTCCGAATCACGACCTTGCTTGTTCAATTATAAATGCGATAGTTTCATTTTTACGGTACGATTTTTGTGGCTGGCGATGAATAGGGAACTAGCAGTGATCTAGCCTCCAATTTCGTCTTTCTTGTTCTTTGAAAACTGGTACTTATGTTTTTCGATATTTTAATTTTGTGCATTCATGGGATCATAGTATTTCGAATATTACATTGGACAATAGTTAGTATAGACTTAGATAAAAAGAAATTAAAACACAAAGCAATGACATTTAGCGTGGCAATGCTGCCAGTCTTTTGGGCATCCTACCTCACGATAGCCATGTGGCTAATTTTTTTTTGATGCCTTTTTTTAAGGGGGGAAAATCATCGAATAACTGCTCCCGCGTGGGTGTAGCGGGAGGGAGTGTCAGACTCTTACTGACTAAAAACCACCCCTTTCTTTCTCCTGCACGTCGAGCCGGAGCCCCGGTTACCCGTTTATTTTTGATGCCTTAAGGTAACATTTTTTAAGTAAATAGTTTAGTTTTTAATTATTTGTATTTTAAGCTGTATATAATTATTCATAATTAAGCTATTTAAGTTTATTAGCACCCCTTTTTTAAAACTACTTCACGTTCAAATATATTTGAAAATATTCAAACAATTTCTTATATGGATTGTGAAACAGCGGTTTCATAAAACACTCAGTAAAGCCAATAAGAGTGCCGCCATTTTGAAAAGTGGCGGGGGAACTAAGGTGGGATGGTCCACTGTCTAAGCTGTCTATGAAAACGAATAGCTTGCACTTACTTTGAAGAATGCTCGCCTTCTGTGTGCTATGTAGTACTTTAGTATAACAGTGTTTATTTTTAGTTTTCTCTTATATTAGACATTACTTTGTTTATTTGCGAAACAATCTCTATATTAAAAAATTCGTCAAGGGTTACGGTAGACTCGATCGAAACATTACCTGAATAACAAAACATAAAAAAATATCGATTTCGAGTCGACAACATATATCCGCACAATTCGGATTACGGAGATTATTTCGTTTTATTAATTCATTTTAATGACACTGACAGACAAACCGCAGTCGCCACCTTGAGTAGATAATAAACGTTGTTCCGTTTCATACTAGGTCTCAAATACGCCTCGCCAATCAACACGTAGTCGCGTCAAAAAGTATGAAACTTGAATAATGAATCTGAATGGGTATTTCTTGTTAAGAAATATGAATAATTTCACGCGAACGAAGTCGCGGGTAACAGCTAGTATTAATATAAATATTAACCCTTTTTATTTTTGTACCGATTTAATTTAGTAATATTTAATTTTGTTGTGTATTTTTAAGAATAAGTTTTTATATATTTTTGTTTACGAGTGATATGATACCTACTCATTAATATTAAAAAAAATAAGTTACGCAGACGAACTTAAAATCTGCAATCTCCACATTAGCTGGTTCTTTCCACTGAACTGCTGATTTTTTTTATGGCATAAGTCGGTAACAACAGAATCAGAATCAGAATCAGAATCATTTATTTGTTAAACATAGGTAGTTTACATAATAAGGTCTTACATATAAAGATAGTCCACTATGTTTTGCCGTGATAGACATACAAATATATTAGGTGCACGCATTTGAAACATTATTAGAATATTACAATTTCAGTTAAATTTTGTACAATAATAATAAAATAATAAAAATAAGGTATGTCAAAATTATGTCAATTAAAATTATCAAATTTATCAAGAAATACTTTAAAATTGTCAAGAAAAAATTGAAATTGTCAAGAAATAAATAAAATTTGTCAAAAAATAAGGAATTCTTCAATTGAGTAATAGCATTTGTTTAATAATAGTTTATTGAGAATACTTTTAAATCTAATTACTGTTGTATTTTTTATTTCATTGGGAATCTTATTATAAATTCTAGGGGCATTACCAAACAAACTTTTGTACATAAGTGCTGTTTTACATTTTACTTGGCTTAGTTTATTAACATATTGGGTGCGTAAGGAAACATTTCTGCCTGAGCTCAATTTTGGAAATAAGTGAGGATTTTGTTTTACAAATACAGCTGTTTCCAGTATATACATGGAGGGCAATGTTAATATTTTTAGTGATTTGAAGTGTGCAATACAGCTGTCTGTGATCTTCAGACCACACATTGACCTTAAACATCTTTTTTGCATTCTAAACACAAGCTCTCTATCTGTAGACTGCCCCCAAAATATAATGCTATAGCGTAATACCGAGGCAACGAATCTGTGGTATGCTGCAAGAAGAGCCTGAAGGTTTACTTTTTTTGAAAGTTGGAAAAGCGCGTATGCGGATTTACTTAACCTTTTACATAACTCCTCAACATGAGGCTTCCAGCTGAGGACGTCGTCAATGACTATACCCAAGAACTTGGTTTTATTTGCTTGCTCGATACAACGGTTTTCATACGCGATTTTAATATTGTCTTGATGACGACGCTGATGAAAGTGCATAACCTTTGTTTTGTTTAAGTTAATTACTAAATTATTTTTGTTAAGCCAATTGATGATATCATATAAGCATTTATTGATCTCATTTTCATAGTCGAGTTCATTTTTACATTTTATGATGACTGTACTGTCGTCTGCAAATAGGACCATTTTGTGTGATGTAGTTTTCGGTAAATCATTAATATATATCAGAAAAAGTAACGGCCCAAGAACGCTGCCCTGAGGGACGCCATATTTAATATGTCTTCGTTTTGATAAATATGTCGTTTCTAGCTTACTCCTCGGACATAGCCTACTGATCTCCGTATACTGAATTCTGTCGCTGAGGTACGATTTCAAAAGTTGAAGGACGTTTCCTCGGACACCATAACTGTGTAATTTATTTAACAAGATATTGTGATCCACATAATCAAAGGCTTTAGTCATATCCGTGTATATTGCGCAAACTGGATTTCTTTTATCTACTGATGTTACAATATCGTCTAGGAAGTCAAATACCGCCATGTTTACTGTAGTGTTTTTCCGAAATCCCTTCTGCTCGTCACAAAATAAGTGGTATTTATCAAAATAGTCATACAGGGAGTTATATATAACTTTCTCTATAATCTTTGAGAGTATAGGTATCTTAGCAATTGGCCTATAATTTTTTAAACATGTTTTACTATCCCTTTTATGTAGTGGTTTTATAATTGTATTTTTTAGTTTTATTGGAAATATATTCCATCAACATTTATAAATTATATTCAGTAAATTTGTATTCAAAATAAGTTTCTGTTTATTTAACTATCGATTACGAACACATATTGTAGTGTATTTTAATATAGGTATTGTTTAAACGGTATTACATAATTAGTTTTTAGCATTTGATTGATCAATATTATTGTGGGGCTTGTTTTACTCTTTTTTTAGAGTGCAGTCGGGTATTTTGTTTTTTTAATAATAATTTTTTTTTTGAAAGTGGGAAAAGCGCGTATGCGGATTTACTTAACCTTTTACATAACTCCTCAACATGAGGCTTCCAGCTAAGGAAGTTCCAGTCGTCAATGACTATACCCAAGAACTTGGCTTTATTTGCTTGCTCGATACAACGGTTTTCATACACGATTTTAATATTCT